GCGCTTGTGGGGGGGGGCGCCGGCCCCGGGCATGCGGGGGCTATGGGGGGGCCGCCCCCGGGCTAACGGCCACGCCCCCTGGCGCCCGGCGGGCTAACGGCCACGCCCCCTGGCGCCCGACAACCTGAAAAGGTTGGGGACCACTAGTATATTTCAACAATATAAATTAGTCAACATTAATAGCAGTTAATAGTATACTGATCTCACTAAAATGAACAATGCACTAGAAATTAGAAAACTGGTGTTTTTGTTTAAGACATTGATAATAAAAAAATTAAAAATTTTTTTTGAGCAAAGCAGAGGGAAAAAAGCCAATAATGGTCCAGCAACACACCACAGTAAATCCCTGGAAAAATAACTCAAAGCATCTCAACTGACATAGTTCTGACATTATTTGTTTGGTACTCATGCCTACACCAACCTTTAAGGTTTTTTTATGTTGCAAACTCTGTCAGTTTAAGAAAGTGATCGATGGAGAACTGCCTGGTCATATGATACTGGCTCTCTTTGTAGTGAATTCTTCAGATGTCTAGGTTCTTTATTTCAAGAGAGAGAGATCTGTTACTTACAGAAGTAGCTGGAAATAAGGTGCAGCCAATCTAGTTACATATAGAAGAAGAAACAGAAGCTGATCACCAATAGGACTGGAACTGGTGGCACAGGCAAGGGAGGAAAGTTCAGAGAAGGACAGGGATAAGAGGACCAGGTGCCTAGGCATGGACAAAGAATGCTGCAACAGACTAGAAATGCAACTGGGAAGAATAATAGAAAAAGAAAGAGCAAAGGAGAGAGGGAGTTAAAGAGTAGACCATGTGACTAACTTTCTTCAAGGAACAAAATATTTCTGTGTTAGCTGAAAAGTATAGAAGAATGCCATTTAATATTTTCTAATGTAAACAACTTCTTTAGACCATGGACAAGTGGGAAAAGAAATTTCCTTGTGGACAATCTCCTTTATTAAGTTGTAGTCCACACCGTAATCAGTTTGGGATAACCTGAATTCCAAAAACCAATGCTGTCACAAAAAGGAGAGCCTATTAATTCCTGAATCTTGCAGCACAGAATCCACAAAGGCTCCTGCTGCTGCCACTACTAATCTTGCCCCTTTTAGAGACTAACAGCAACATTTGAAACCTTTAGAAGGCCTCTGTGAATTTAGATAAAAATATCTGAGCATTCACTACAGCTTCTTATAATCCTCAGGAAGTATCCGAGTTTAAAATATGTTTTTAAGATGTTCAATTGTGATTGCAAGGATTCACTCCTCCGGTAAGTAGGCAAAAATGGTGGCCACGTTATGGAATTCATGAGCAGAACAGACCTGAAGCTTGTCACATCACTTTTATTCAAAGGCACTATACATGGTTAAGAAATACAACCGATCATCTTGATGAAAAGCTAATTCATCTGCTCTCCAATTTTAGGGTTTTTGTACAACACAATTACTAAACATCTTGAGTCTTCCTCCTTTGGTTGTAAGGACAGCCTTATACCATAAGCCTGTGTGAATAATTTCTGTTAGTTCTCATTGATAATACAGTGTTTCCTAAAGTAAGCCTATTTTGGAATGAGGAGGAAGGAGGCAGAGAATGTATTTCCAGTATTATTACTGTTCTTTGTTTTCCAATCTTGCAGAGCTACTGCATTAACTGCCATTTTTATCCACTACCCTGCTGAGATAAACTTATAATCTTTTAATAAGGAAAAAAACAAGAGAACTAATGACTTCCTGATTAAGGGTATTTTAAAGGATAGCTTAGATTTCAAGCTTAATTACATGTAATAACTGAAAAAACTATTGTTACGTCAATGCAAGAAATTCTGGGAAGGTTATCACAAGGTAATGTACTATATGCAATAATTTATGCATGGGTATACATAATCTGAGTATACAATAAGGTTCAAAGCCGAAGATTAATTAAGACTACCTGAGAAGAGCTGAGTAGATGCTCAGTTTAAGTTAAGAGGGATACTATCCAATATACAAAGCTTATGCTAACACAAATCTTCAGTTATTTATCAGGAATTACTAGTATTATGAAAAGAGTTTTACTTAAAGCTGTAAATTGTATGTGTGAATTACATGCATACCGTATTTTCCGGCGTATAGGGCGACTGGGTGTATAAGACGACCCCCTATCTTTTTAATTAAAAGATAGGGTTTCATCTTATACCCCAGCGCCCCTCCGCCTCCTTTGCTCCCGGTGTCCCTGGTCTGCTGGAGATGGTCCCCAGCAGACCAGAGGCACCGGGAGCAAAGCCGCCAGGAGCGCCTGGGATGCCCCCCCGCCGGCTTCCCCCGAGGCTTTCCAAGCCGCGGAGGGGCTCCGGCCGGGGGGGGAGAC